AGTAAAATGCATCTTCCCGATCATGCATTCACCTAGTCATTAGGAGTTTCCGGTAGTATTATAATCCTGCTAGAATGCTTTTATCCAGGGGTGTTTGAGACAGCTCCACTCCACGTTTTTCGGCTTCGCTCCACGTTTTTTAGCCAAACGTTTTCAGCTCCGCGCACTCTGTGCAAGGAAAAAAAAGTGGAGTTGTGAGAGCACCTAAAGAGGGTGCTCCACAAACTCCAGTTTTTTTGTGGAGCTGCTCTACGGTGGAGTTTGTGGAGCAGTCCCAACATCCCCTAAGTCTTATTCAACACCGTCTCCGTCTAAAAAAGAGAGAGAGCACAACTCACTTTTTAAAAATAAACAATTATCAAATTTAACAAAATATATAAAAACACTAACATTTTTATTATAGCAAATAAGTATCACCGGCAAAAATGTTCGTGTGTTGCAACCAAACATACACCTTATTATGCGGTCACGTGAACAACTTGCGGCTCAAAGATTTATATGATAGTCGTGTCATCTGTTCCAAAAATACATATTAAAATCAAACTCTATATCATTTTGTCTCGAAGATATATGTAATGTTCACATCATCTGCTAGAATTGGATTTTGAAATTTAAAATTTAAAATTTCAAATAACCTCAGATGTTAACAATAGTCTAGACTAAAGTTGTAGTTCTCAGTATATACAATCTATAACATTGTAGTTGACAGGCTTTTGTTATTAAGAGTCCCAAATATATGTTTTATAAGTTTCTAGATTTTAAAATTAGAAATTCAGAATTTCCTAATGACCTTGAAAGTTCATATAATTAATAAAAAAATATTGTAGTGGTCAATCCGATCTACAATTTTGCAGGTTATAAGTTTTTTATTTGAAGTGGTCTAGAGTCTCAAATATTTATTTTAAGTTCTGATGATATTCAAATTTTTTAAATTTTCAAACAATCTCATAGAGACGCATTATATACTAAAGTTGTTGTAGTGTTTGACAAGATTTAAAACTTTGTAACTGAAACTTTATTTATTTGAAATCATTTAGGTGAAAACAATATTTAATAAATACAAGCGATGGAAGCGAGCTGTGGTGGAAGGAATATGTGTGGTGGAAGGAATATACGTGTCAGTCGATGGCTAGACATATAGGTTATTGATTGCTACATGCGATTGCAAAAAGGACACCGGTTACAATATTTTCACTGGATCGGAACGTCTACAGTCCTGTAACAACCTAACAACCTAGGCCGGTCTTTGAGATCACAATAGTAAAATCTCATTCTCTGTATAAAAAAAATCTTATTTTCTCATCAAGCATACATCTAGTCATCAGGAAGAGTACAGTCCATGAGCAGCAACATATAAATGGACTCACATGCCAATTAGACTACCCACAATATGGGCAGAGATCGATGTTGAAAAGAAGAATGAGAAGGTCAGAACATCCATTTGTATATTGGCCCTGTTCACTTCTCTTATAATCCGTCTTTTTCAGCTTGTTTTTTTAGCCGGAACAATATTTTTCTCTCACAACAAATCAGCCGGAATAATGTTTTTACTTATTTTTTCAGCGAAGCGAACGGGGCCATTGTGGGTAGTAATACCTGAAGAAAAAATAATGGCATCGATGGATTTCACTTCTCGATGCTCAACTGAGCATAGAGAGTAAAAGGAAATACACGTGTCATTTTGTTTTTCAGTAGACCCACGTCTTAGATAGCCTAGAATAGACTCATCTTTTAGCATCGATCCTGGAAACTATAGTCTCTAAGCATCGATTATACCCCTGCAGCAGGGAGCCCGAGTGACTGCACAAAGTTGTTTGGTCAATAATATTAAATACATTCTGTCTAAAAAACTTGATGTTCAGGATTCAAAAAAATGTCTAAAAAAACTTGATTAGCTCTTGGACAATAGACTGGCTCATATTAACTTGAGATTGTGGTTTGCATGCCTCCATAAATTCTTTTTAATGAGAGAATTATTCTTTAGTTAGCATGGTTTAACTTCAATAAGTAAGAGTACATAGGTAATTTTCATAAAACACTAATATGTCCTTACCTCCATAAGTTTTTTTTGAGACAAATGAGGTAAGTTTACAATATACGAGGACGCAGTTTCCGGACAAGTTTCTTTGGCCATGAAACAACGGATGCGAGTTCTCGTAGGAATCTTGAAATGCTTAAAGTCTTATTAAATATAAATACCGACTCCATCTAAAAAGAATGCACAACTCACTTTCCAAAAAAATCAACCATTTTTAACTTTGACCTAATCTATAAAATAATAGTAACATTTTATGATAAAAAATAAATATCATTAGGTTAACCATGGATTAGATTTCATAGTAAATCTATTCGGAGATATAGATGTTGAAACTAATTTTCATGAACTTAGTTAAATTTGAAACTGGTTGACCTTTTGAAAAGTAAGATGTTCAATCATTATTAAGATTGGGATGGAGGAAATAATACTACACCTAGTTTGATAAAAATGACATTTTGGCTTCGGGACTAATCGATGCAGGCATTGTTAGGCACCGCCTTAGTAAATGGTTAAACACGTCTCAAGTAAATGCTTGTCTTTGTTAATCATTCGTAGATGTGGACATCCTAATGAGATGGTCTTTATTAATCGACTATTTATAGAGGCGGTTTCCTTAGAATATCCACCTTTGTAAATCGATTAGCAGAGCCGAACTTCTTCAGATGCTTGCCTCTAAATATGACTGCATCTAGAAATCAATTAACAGAAGCAATCTAAGAGACCCATTTCTAGAAATAGTTATGTCAAAAGTAGTTCATAAATTTTTTCATATGAAGTCAAATGAAGATAAACTTCATATAAAAAGTTATAGATCTGATGCGATATATAACTTTGTAGTGGATACGTTTTTTTATTCGAAATAGTTTAGAGTCCCAAAGTTTTATTTTAAATTTCTCAGATTTAAAATTTAAAATTTAAAAAATTCAAATAACATCATATGTTTACATGATCTAAGCCAAAGTTGTAGTTCTCAATACAATCTACAATGTTGTAGTTGACAATAAGTTTTTTATTTAAAGTTTTCTAGGGTTCCAAATATGTGTTCTAAATTCATATATTTTCAAATTTAAAATTTAGAATTTTCAAATTCCCTTAAACATTCACATGGTTAATATATATCAAAGTTATAGTGGTTGAACCAATCTACAAGTTTGTAGTGGATAAGTTTTTAATTTAAATTGGTTTAGTGGCCCAAATAGATGTTTTAAGTTCTCGTACTTTGATGTTCAAATTTTGAAATTTTCAAACAGGCATATCTCAAACGAAGATACAGATAGTATACAAAAGTTGTAGTCTTAAAGATTTAACACTATGTACTTGAAACTTTTTTATTTAAGATTATTTAGTGACCAAAATATTCAATATCTTTACTATAATGGACTAATCAAAATTATACTAGATCCCTCTAGAAAAACGTCATCCGCTGAGAGCCTCTAACTATTGTGTATCCAGAAAAATGCACATAAGAATTCGTCTTTGTTAAAATCAAGAGCTATTAAAACATCTAAATTAAACACCTAAATCAAATCCGATGGTCACGATTTGTGTGATGGAGGCTTCTCACCCCCGCTCTCCATCGCTTCAAACGCGCACGACAACGCACCTCGGCGACTAGCGATTGATCCTGTAGTCATCACCGAATAAAAAAACAGAAGTCATCACCGAATATAAAAAAAACAGAAGAAGGAAACGCACGGCCGCCGCCTCCCGTTGATCTCGCCGGACGACGCCGACGCATGGCTCCCTCACGGCGCATGCCCGCGGTGCGACGCGAGGCCCGCCCGCAGGGCTGAGCAGGGCCCGCACGGGGTGGCCAGCCGCAGCAGTGTCGTCCGCCACTCACAGGCGCTAGGATGCGGCGGCGGCCGAGGCAGCGTCCGTCGGTCGACGAGCCTGAGCCAGAGGCAGCGCTAGGGTGCGGTAGTCTTTATCTCGATTTCCCCTCTCTCTTCGATCTCAATCTCATTTGCTTGATTTGACCATCGATCTGGGTTTAGGGTTCAAGCCCCCCTCGCCGCTCAGGATCCGCGGTGATCCCTGGCCTTGGTAAGCTCCGTCCCCCTAGAAACGTACTTTTCGGCTTCTGAATCAAAAGCTCATGAACGTAGTGGTACTTGAGTTTGTAGCTGGGTCATTAGATCAGGTAGAAATCTTGCGTAGGCTTTTCAACAGTATCACTCGCCTCTTTAAGAACTCCTGCTCAATGTTTGCCATCTCCGAAATAATTAGATTCTCTAAATCATTAGATTATATCCTGAAAGCAGATTGATCCAGTGACTCACACTTTTCCTAAAAAAAATAATTCCTATCATGGCGTAGCGTCGTAGGCGTGTACAACTTGCCGAATCGAGGAAACCAGCACACGTTCGTCTACTTGCCGCTGCAACCTCATGCTTGCTTGCTGTCACGCCCTAAATTGTTTGATACTTTGATGTTTACCTGAAAACCCGTCATTGTGTTCATGTATTGGATAAGTTGTCCACTGCTTTGATTGATGATAGATGGTAGCATGCTAATATGATATTTTACTAGCAGATGTATTATGTACCATTTTTCTAATTCTAAATTACCTTTTTTAGATTCATCCTGTTGTTTTTCAATTTGTCAGTGTGCTTGCATTCAGGGTACTAACCAAGCCTATTTCACTGAATGTCTAGGACTTGATTCTTCTAAGAAGTGATTTTCTGAGTCATGGATATCTTAAGGATTCAATTCTGTAATGCTGCTTTTTTCTATGGTGTTTGTTGATCCTTCTTATTACGTGGAATAGTTTTTCAATCAAAATTGACGGAGCTCCACCTGCCATAACAGTTGTCAATTCTCTTAAAAGTGTGGTGGTCATCGTGTCATCCGTCCTCTTCTTTAGAACTCCAATTTCACCTATAAGTGCCTTAGGTACACAACTCATGCTATCCTTCATCCAAGCACCAAATACTGGCCATCTAATTTATCTATGTCTGAGATGGCGGTGGTGGGAGGTTGGGGCAGCGTCGGGGAGATGGTGTGGCTTTTTGGTGCCGGAGGTGGTGCCTCCTCTCAAGGCCGTGGTGAGGACTCGTGTGTCTACGCTGACAGCGATGAGATTGGCGCTGTGAAGGTGCCCAAGGAGCACCATGCTGCAGTCGCCGCTCACCAGTTCCGTGGCTGGTGTCTCAGGTTTGTGCTCCGTGATGGGTACTTTGCCATTGTTCTTGTGAATCCTTTGGTTATAATAAGACTTTTATAGAAGTTCAAAAGAAGCTGATGTTAGGAGAATTTGGTACTCTTTGGATAAAATCAATTTGCATTGTGACTGTCGTGTTAAGTCTTTCACCTTATGCAGTGTGGTGGCCTTACACATGATTTAACATCGCATGGTGGTGAAATATTATGCCCTTCGTTTACCAAAGCTAACAATACAAAACAAATCGGCAGCACTTCGTATAGATCAACAAAAATACTGAAAACCAGCTGCCTAAAGAGCTCGCAAAATACTGAAAACCACCAAAATGCTGAAGAGTTCTAAATCTTATTGGATCACAAGGTGCGGGATAGTATTGCTGAAGAGATGATTGGGCCAGTAATAAATATAGACACCGTAATTGAGCTCCGTGTATACTCTTTTTAGAGAGCAGGGCTGACCGAAAGCTATATTGATTGCACTAAGTTTGTTTAGATAACCACATCAGAATTTCTCAATATGGTTCTTGTCTGTAAATGATGTGTTCACTTGAGATTTGAGAAAGACAATTTTATATATGTATACATCCAGTATGGACTATGGAGCTCTACGCTGCAGAGGATATTCAATTGAGCCATAGTGTACATTAGAATCATATTTGTGACAATCATGTTTGTCTGTGAAAAAGTGTGACATGAATTTCAGGTTACCTGTTAATCAACTTTTGGTTGTTTGATTTGCTCTACCTAATTAAACCATAGCGTTAGCATGGGCATTATACTAGTAAACGTGAAAGCGAGCTGTGGTGGATAGACCGATGACCGGACATACTGGTGAATTTAGCCAGGATTTATATATGCATGTGATCGCAACAGACGTTGGGTTACGCTCGATATCTTCACTGGATCAGAACGCTTGTAATCCGGTAACGACCTAGGGCCTAGGCTCGTCTGTGATATCACGTCCACATCTTCTCGTGCATGCACCTAGCCATCAGGGGAAGAGCGTAGGAGCAGCAGCATTGACAATAAAAAAATTGCTAATAAGGAAAATATTTGACGTCAAGGCGACTTCACTAATAAGTCCCAAATTTTTGTTTTCATCTCCCATATTTTCAAATTTAAAATTAAAAAATTCTAAACAACTTTGGATGTTGATGAAGTTTATATTAAAGTTGTAGTTCTCAATACAATATATAACTTTGTAGTTGACAAGTTTTTAAATTGAAGTTATTTAAAGTCCCAAATATGTATTTTAAGGTCTTAGATTTCAAAATAAAAAAATTTAAAAGTTATAAACGGCCTTCAATGTTCACATGGTTATACAAAAGTTGCAGTGGCTGACCCCATCCATGAATTTTTTTCTTGTTGCTGCTGTAGAAATGTCATGTTCTTGGAAGCATTTTACGGTGTTGAACGCCTGTAAAAGGTGCAGGTGCATTGAATTTTTTTTAATAAATTAGCAAACGTGTCCTTCTAAGGACGTGTTTAAGAAGCTCCTTCGGGTCCTGGCTCTACGCTACAGTGCCAGAGCCGGAGGAGCCACGGACCCTGGCTTCTCTAGGTTCCGGTTTATTTTAACAGGAGAGAGAAAAACAGCCCTATAAACAGTGTAGCTACAGTACGAGGTGCATGGAGGAGTCGGAGCCGGAAAAAGCCGTGCAAACACGTCCTCGTGGTATTTCGATGCTACAATTTAATCCTACGATCCGATGCTGCTCGTATGAAACGATCATATTTGGCACCAAGCCTTCTTGACCTCCTCAGCCGAATCAGAGGGTGTGCTGACGCCCTACCTCAGCAAGCAGCATGAGCGGGCGAGATAAAGGTAGGACGCGAGCGTATGAGGTGAGGACGCCAGAGGTGTGGGCGCCATCTTCATCTGAGCTGAAACGTTTCGTGTCACGATTCGTGATATGAGTGAGTTTTTTATTTGTAACAAGTTTAATTTAATATTTGTATAGTATAAAATACATTTGTACCAATGATAACTATCTATTTTTTAAGAAAATAGATGAATGAGAAACTCGATTTTTTTTTCAAACTGATATTTGGAAGCATGAATAGAATCACAGGATTAAACTGACTGTAAGCAGAACAAAATACTGTCATTTGATGACAAGTAAGCCGAAAGATACACAGGTACTGTGTAAAACAACTAACGATAAGATAAATCCATTTAGGGGCTTAAGCATTTCTACCATTGTTTTTCAGTAAAATGGTGATTTTACCCTTTTTTTTTAACTTTATGGTTTTATCCTTGTGATTTCAAAACGAAGGGAGACTCTACTCTTGATCTGTGAAGTCCCTCTAACGGTGTCAACTTTTGGACAAAAGGATAACTTTGCCCATGCGTTTTTACCCCTGTTTTATTATGATATTTGTGTTTTTACCTCTGTTTTAGATCAGCAAGTTGACATTTTGTATACATATTTTTTAGAAAAAAATCGATAGCATTTCAGCTAATAATCCATATAAACAAAATTTAATATCACACAACAAAGTAATTTTACACATATTACATTAACGGCAACAAATCAGTCCATATAACATGGGCCCCGTTCGCGTGCCCTTAACCCCGGCATGATCCGCTTTTTTTTTCCATCTGGAACAGTGTTTTTTCTCACAAATTCCTCCAGCATTCCTCCAAACCATCTAAATTCCTCCAAGCAAACAGGCCATGTTACCATATTAGATAAAACAACAAAGAGATCCAAATAACATGTCAAACACCAATATATAGGTCTAAATGATATGTCAAACAACAGTAGTGAGTTTTGTAGGCAACTAGCAGTGAAACTATTGCTACACCATCAGGTTGCATCTGTTTCTGGCATCTTGGTTCAGGAAAGGTTTCCGTGGTACCTGCCGCGGCTTTGGTCTTCTTCACTGATGTTTCTTCAGTCTCTTCAGTTTTACTCTGGAGATCAGAATGTGTCGATTTCTCCACTGGATTCTAGCACTATCAGGCAGCTGCCTTCTGTAGTAGCCGATGCGCACTACCCATTTGTTGGGCAATGGAGTTCTGCTGGCAAACTATCAGCTACACTGCTAGACATGTCCTAGGCCAGTTCTGCTGGGATGACATCATCAAAGCTAGATACAATGGGGATCAATGAACTGGTTCTTCTGGAATCTATGGATGTGTTCGGCTGGTATTAAAGCTAGCTGATAAAGCGGTTAAAACTGGTTTGTTGTGAGAGAAAAATACTGTAGATTCTAGCTGATAAATCGGCTGATAAGTTCAAGCACCCAGACCCATATTTCCTGTTGCCATAGTTTGGGCAAGAATTCTTTTTTCTAGAACACGACTTCACGCGTATTTAGTTTGGGCAAGAATGAATAAAGTGCCCTGGGACTCCACATTTGTAGCAAATACGTCTTGTTCGTTTGGGCTTGTTTGACTGATAAGCCATGACTGAAAGTACTATTGGCTGATTTGGTGTGAGAGAACAATACTGTTCGTTGGCTGAAAAAGTACGACTTATAAACCAAACAAGCCCAAACGAACAGGGCGTAGCCACCATGATTTTGGACCACTGTCTAGCAAACTAGAAAACGACCGCATTCTAACAAGTTTCAATTCTCTGTGATTTAGCCTACAAATCATAGCAAAGAATAAACAAGTCAACACATCTACTAATCACAGCTATTTTTCATTTCATCGAAACACACATCTCAGGAATGGGTGAAATACCTTGGCTCTTCCATGGTGGCTGTCCCGAAGCAGGTCGGAGGCAGGGGCGTAGATCGAGGCCATCAGCAACCGCGCCAGCTAGCCGGGGAGGTGGGCGAGCCCCCAGCCACGCCGCCACGGGCGCGAGCCAGGGAGCAGCCGCGGCAGAGGCAACCCGCGCGGCGCCCCTGACGCCGCCGGCACAAGATGGAGGGTGAGGGAGCGGGGAGAGGGGGAGGGCGACGGGGATAGGGAGCGCCGCCGCCCGGAACCGCGCCGCAACCCGCGCGACGCCCCTGACGCCGCTAGCGTGAGACGGAGTGTGAGGGCGGCGGGGAGAGGGGGAGGCTGATGGGGAGAGGGAGGGCTGCTGCCTGGAGCCGTGCCGCCGTCGGTAGCAGCACCGCCGCCCGGAGCCGCAGTCGCTGTCGGGAACGGGAACCCAATGCCGCACGACGCATTTTTGCAAGCGAACGCTGGTTCGAGCGAGTGAAACCTTCCAGGGGCATTGATGTCTTTTGATCCCCAGCCTTTTCTTTTCTAATTTTTTTTGCCATTTAACCCAACCGTTACCAATGGTGTTAGAAAGCTGAGGCAGATGGCGCGTTCATTTCAAACAAAGGCAAAATCGCAAAGTTAAAAAAGGAGAGGGTAAAATCACCATTGAGGTTTGGAATAGGGGTAGAAACACCAAAATCCCACCCATTTACAGGGCATGGTTCTTATTCGCTTCTTCTTCTTTTCCCCCTTTTTTTTGAAAATGTTGTTCCCCGTTCTTTTTTTTTCTCAAGACTAAAAAAAAGGTGTGCCAACACCGTCCTAGCGGGTTGGTAGCGGATTGATGTCGAGGTAGTAGATCACGGATAACGGACGCTATTGCGAACCCTAAGTTCTAATAGCGCCATACGATAATTACATATAAATTTAAGAGGAGATATCGTGAATAATGGTATAAATAGACATTGGCCCCGTTGGCCTGTTTTATAATTTGTACTTTTCAGCTTGTTTTTTCAGCCGGAACAGTGTTTTTCTCTCACGACAAATCAACGGGAACAGTGTTTCGGCTTGTTTTTTTAGCGAAGCGAACGAGACCATTTAACTATATAAAACTCAAATAACTGATGTCCCCCATACTTAAATTAAGAAAAAAATATAGTGTTCCACAACATATATAAGTCATCGTATATCAGAGTTTATAAACAAATAGATTGTGAGAGCCATAAATAATATATAAGGCCATCATTCGTTATTATTGTTAAAAAGTAGCAATATTTTATTCTCATGGCCACATAAAGCACCTGTGTATCTTAAGTGAACTAGAATTATTTATTTATTGCATACCATACCATGCTATTGTGGCCGCTGCGAACAATTGCAGAGTGCTATAGTTG